AAATACACTAAAACTAAGAATACACTAAGCACTAATAGTACAAAAACAATACACAAACATGAGTCTGTGTGAGCAGGTGGGTACAAATGAACACAGCAGCATGAAATAAATCATAAGCATGACAGCATATCAATGGTGCTAGTTAAAGTTAGTTTTAATTATGTGTTTTTGCGCCGAAAATTAAGAATGACTTAAAACATAGATGAACTATATTAATTCAAAAGTACAGAGAGCTCATAATAATAATAAAGCCATGAAAATAAAGTACAACTGAACCAGAACATGTTGGGTAGCATCACATGTTGTGACCCCATAATGAGAAGATCTCTGGTTCCTATCGAGTCAGCTGTCCATTACAAATAGACACTTTATCATACAAGTCAGTTATAACACATTAATTTTTAATTGTCTTCTTCTTCTTCTTCTTCTTCTGGCTTTTCCCTCTTCAGGAGTCTCCACAGCGAGTCATCTTCCTCCATCTCACTCTGTCCTCTGCATCCTCTGTCCTCAACTACCTCCATGTCCTCTCTAACCCATATATCTCCTCTTTGTCTTTTTCCTGGCAGCTGCATTTCTAACATCCTTCTACCAATATACCCACTGTCCCTCCTCTGGACATGTCCAAACCATCTCAGTCTGTCCTCTAACTTTATCTCCCAGTAGTTCAACCTGTGCTGTACCTCTGAGGATCTCATTCCTAATCTTATCCATCCTTGTCACTCCTAAGAAGAACCTCAACATCTTCATTTCTGCCACTTCCAGTTCTTTCTCCAGTCTTTTTGTCCATGTCTCTGTCTCCAGACCATACAATATAGCTGGTCTCACCACTGTCTTGTAAATGTTTCCTTTGACCTGTGCCGACACCCTTTTGTCACAAATCACTCCTGAAACTTTTCTCCATGCACTCCATCCTGCCTGGACTCTCTTTTTCACCTCTTTACCACATTCCCCATTTTCCTGGACAGTGGACCAAGTCCTTGAAGTCCTGCACCTTTGTGACCTCTGCTCCTTGTAGCCTCACTGTTCCACCAGCCTCCCTCTCATTCACACACATGCACTCTGTCTTACTACAGCTGACTTTCATTCCTCTTCTTTCAAGTGCATACATCCACCTCTCCAAGTTCTCTTCCACCTCCACCAGGGTGAAATGTCTCAGCACAAAAAAACAACAAAAAAAAACATCCAGATGACCTAACTGAACATTGAACACTGAACATTGTTGGATTTTATACCTGGATTATTGAGCATGGACTTTGGTGTTTTGAACAAGTTTGACATGACTGTCGACGAGGGAGAGGGCGGGCCCTAGAGACCATCTTAGCACCAACATAACTGTTTTTTTCCCCACTTTGGAGTAGGCTGTTGGGAGAGAATCAGTTTTGGTTGGTGGTTCCTCAGACTGATAAAGCCTTCTGGATGGAGGGTGAAATGTCTCAGCAAAAAAAGAAACTGTCCAGATGACCTGACTGAACATTGTTGGATTTTATACCTGGATTACTGAGCATGAACTATGGTGTTCTCTTCCACCTGTTCCCTGTTCTCACCACAGATCACAATGTCATCTGCAAACATCATCATCCATGGGGATTCCTGCCTGACCTCATCTGTTAGTCGGTCCAACATATTAAATTTTTAGCACCAATAAAAAAAATAAAATCCTGAAAAAAAATCAAAATCTACAAAAACGTTCCGAGCAGAAGCAGTCAATAATCCGTCTTTCCATGGGAGATTATTATATTTAGGAACTTTAAAGGATCAAGTTACATTTAAACAACATTTAGTTGAGGTTTTAATCAGTAATAATGTCTCACTAGCTGTAGAAGTCACTAAAAGCATCATTTGGTCTGAGTGGGACAAAGATCAAGGTAGGTTGCTGCCATCTCATTAAATGATTTGTGGTTAACACAAATCCTTACTAAACCTTTGTTACTTCTGCATTAAACAGTTTTTGACATGGAAGTCTTTGGGGGCAGCTTTAGAACAGTGGAGATCACCTTCCAGTCAGAAGATCGGGGGTTCAATCTTCCACAGCATGTTAAAGTGTCCAAAAGAAAACATAAAAAGTGCCGTATATAGAGTGTAAAATATACAACAGAACGAACTGGATGAGTGAATGAGAAACACTAAAGCATTTTACAGAACCTGGAGGTTAAAAAGGCACTGCATATGTGTGGATCATGTATTTACACTGGAAACCCAGTCAGTCCACTGTCTTTAACCAGCTCATGTGAAAAACGTGACAGAATGAGTTATGCAGACTTTTGCACACGTGTTAACCATAGCCAGGAAGAGAATCTATCTGATAGAGAATAAATAATGCACAAAATGTTTTAGCAGTTCAACAAACACCATTTTATTGATTTTATTTTTTTTTTTTCCCTGCCCGGCTACAATTAATACACTGCAACACAAGTTTCATATGAATCTGTGCTGGTTTTAGACTGACCTGGACTCCAGTGTAAATAGCCACAGCCTCTGTGAGTAATCGTCTCAGACAAAAGCAGCAAGTTTCCTCAGAGAAAACGTCCATTTAACAGAGTTGTTCTAATTGTTTTAGATATGATTAGACCTGCTGTGGTCACTAGGTGATAATGTGCTGCGACAACCACAAAACGACAGTCCGAGCAGGATTATGGCACATTTTTCACCACATTAAACACAGAGTTGATATTACGTTCACAGTGAAGCTGAATAAAAACAGCTGACAGGTGTCACTGCACCGTGTTTTCTTGTGGTGGATTTTTTTCAAGTAACGATGCTCCGACACTGAGCTCTGTGAAGTCAATAATCATTGTATTAGAATTCCTACATAAAGTGTTTGTTATATAATAAGGCTTGTCAAGAGATAACGCTACAAAAATGCATTTCAAATTACTCCAAAGTGTGTTAATGTCAAAATAATACCATAGTCCAGATGTCTGAATATACTGAAACATATACAGGACATCAGCAGGTCTGAACAGGGCCTGCATGCTTTAACACACTGCACAAACTAAACAAAAGATCTGTACACATATTCCACTAGGTCGTGATGTCACGTGCGCCGCAGAATGGTAGCACTGACGGGAGCTACTCTTCGACTCGCTCTTTTTGTTCCTGCTGTTTTTGTTTTAACTTTTTTAGCGCCTACACTGCACACCCGCGCTACGAGTATGACCACAACACACTTTTGGAGTTATGCGTGTCGCTACCTTGCCATCGTGGTTCAATTTCCAGCCTCGGGCTCAGCCTGTCATGGTGGTCGTCTCCGTGATCATCTGCCTGCACGAACAGAACTCTACGGGACAGTTTGGTTCCGCGGGGAACCCTTGGATTGTCTCTGTATGACGGACCCAGTTCTGGAGGGAAGCTGCTGCGGTCATTATTACCATCATGCTGCTAACAAGACCTGCTAACAAGATCACAACGCTAACAGTACCATGCTGCTAAAACAACCTCACTGCTAACAGAACCACACTGCTAACAGAACCTCACTGCTAACAGAACCACTGCTAACAGAACCTCACTGCTAACAGAACCCCACTGCTAACAGAACCCCACTGCTAACAGAACCCCACTGCTAACAGAACCCCACTGCTAACAGAACCTCACTGCTAACAAAACCACACTGCTAACAGAACCACGCTGCTAACAGTACCACACTGCTAACAGAACCAAGCTGCTAACAGTACCACACTGCTAACAGTACCACGGTGCTAACAGTACCACGGTGCTAACAGTACCATGGTGCTAACAGTACCACGGTGCCAACAGTACCAAGATGCTAACGGGACCATGGTGTTGAGAACCTCACTGCCAACAGAACCACTCTGCT